TGAGGTAAAAAGAGAAACTTTTTGACATTTTTATTGATGAAGTGACCAAGGGATATGAAAAGTATGTCTTTGAGCACTTCTGCTAAAATACTTATAACTGCATTTTCTGAAGCTTTTTGTATTTTACATATTTAATCTTGGTTGAAAATCCAAATGCCTCATTCAAACATGGCTTGTCATTAACAAAATCTTTATTATAAGCTAGAAGGTCAGTATGGGATCTCCAATCTTGAAATATTACTTGCTTGAAAAAGCAGACCCTAACATTTCTTTTGCATTTAAGACCAAATTTCTGCTTGTTGATAAGTGGTCAGAAACTTATTCTTGTAGTTTTCCTTTTTCATATCTGAAAGATGAAATTAGTACACTTTTTACAATTTTGTTTTTTCTTCATCTTCATGATCAAAATAAAGGAGATTGCTGGGGACATTACTATGTGGAGATATTTGCCCAAATCTAGAATTACCAGCTTTTCTAGTACTAGCAAGTCTGTTTAAGGCCAGGTTGGCCTTGAAATTGTGCTGATCTGACTTCCTTAGGCTCGCAAGTGCTGGCATAACAGGTGTGTACCTCCATGCCCAGCTTCCTTAATGAGGTTTTTTTTTTTTTTTTTTAACTGGGGATTGAACTCAGGTCCTTGCACTTGCCAAGGAAGCACTTATTCCACTGAGCCATCTCCCTGGCCCTCCTTAATGAGTTTTGTTTTTGTCTTTTTTTTTTCAGAACCAGGGAATGAAGTCAGGTCCTTGTGCTTGCCAGGAAAGCATTTATTCTACTGAGCTATCTCCCTGGCCCCATGAATGAGTTTTAATTGCAACAAAATACAGATGACCTAAACTTTACCATCTTAAAGTATCCAGTTCAGCAGTTTTCATAATGTTGTGCAATTATGGCCACTACCTAGTTCTTTTACTACATTAAAAAAACCCTATAATATAGACTACAAAATGACAAATTGAGACATACTTTGTAGTGATAGTACATGGTTGATAAAATACTTGTTTTACATAAACATGTCCTAAATTAAACACTTTGAAGAATAACATCTAAGCATCAATGGAGAAATTACTCATCTTTTTGGATAAATTGTTCTAAATCCATTCTAACACATACGAGCTATGGATTTCCACATGTATCATTTTCTTATTACTAGAGATCATTACAGCAGAACTTTGCTTTTCCTCAGGATAGCTGAATATTTTTTGATGCATAAATAGGGGCAGTCTTAGCGTTTTTAATGGAAGTATACTATGATAGACTTATTTTTCAGCTTACTTTCACTATACTATTACATTGAGAAAAAATTTTTGGTTGCAGTGTGTTTTTGTGTTTGTTACATGGTCAATTAATTGAACAGGCATATTTCTGAAAGGGTATAAGAGTATGTGGTGCTCCCCCAAGCCCTACTCTCATACAAGCTTTTGCTGTCTAGTCCAAGTTGGGCTTCATCAAATTTGCCTTCTTAGCTTTGCCTAGTTCATACTGCAGATCTCTGGTGACCAGGTCCTTTTTTAGGAAGTAGCCAATTTAAGATTTAAGATTCTTGTTACTACTAAGAAAATTAAGATACAGATCCAGGCTTTTTAGCTCACCTGCCTGAGAGGTAGGATGCTCAGTCCTAAGCCAGGTCTGCAAAGGGATTTCCATGAATGGTTTCCTATTATGGACTGGGTTTATGATACCTGATGCTTCTCCTGTGATTATTAGATACCACAAGGCACCCCAGCCTACTCTTCTGAGCCCCCTGACCAAGAGCCAACACTCTCTTTTAACAATAACTTTGGATGCTTGTAAGCCCCAAGATTAAATGGGAGTGAAAGCTGAAGAATAAGGTAGTAAAAAACTGATTAATGTCAGTAGATGATTGCTGGTTATCTAACGCATAGATTTTTCTCATAACAAATTATACAATATTCTTATGTTGCTTTATCAGTATATTTAATCACACATACCGTTAATTGAAAATGATGTTGAGGGCGGCTCTGTTGTCTGAAAGGTAAAAAGAAATTGATTTTTATTACTTATGGTAATAATTTATGGAATTTTCCCTTAAATTGTAATAGTTTGGTTTGTATCTACTTTAGTCTATCTTGCAA